CTCTTTATTTTCTTAAGTTCTACTTACAATTTGTAATCTTTTATTTCATAGATATATACTTTTAATAAAATAACAAAACTCAGTTTCATCATAACAGACTTGTCGATAAAAACATTTTGATTGCATATATTTTATTTCAAAATATGTGTATATTTATGGATTTAAATTCTAAATTATATCATTATTTAAAGAGAAAATTCGTTCTTGATTTTTTTTAAGGGTGCACCCGTATGTACGTTTATTTGAGAGGAGGAGGATTACCCTCTCAATTTTGAGGGATTCGTTAGTTTATTTTCTCGATGAATATGCAATAAAATTTGATTTTTACCTTATCCTCAGAATATTACTATGATCAGATTACTCCTTATCAGATTACTCATCATCCTCAGACTACTCCTTAGACCCCTCCTCATCAGACTACTCCTCAGATCTTCCTCATAAGACTCCTCCTCAGATCTTCCTCCTGAGACTACTCTTCAGACTACTCCTTAGAGTCCTCCTCATCAGACTAGTCCTGAGACTAGTCCTCAGACTACTCCTGAAACTACTCCTCAGATTATCCTCAGACTACTCCTCAAACTCCTCAGATTATCCTCAAACTCCTCAGACTACTCCTCGGTCTAATCCTCAGACTCCTCCTCAGATTATCCTCAAACTCCTGGTCAGATTATCCTCAGACTCCTCCTCAGATTATCCTCAAACTCCTCCTCAGATTATCCTCAGACTCCTCCTCAGACTACTCCTCAAACTCCTCAGACTACTCCTCAAACTCCTCAGATTATCCTCAAACTCCTCAGACTACTCCTCAAACTCCTCAGATTATCCTCAAACTCCTCAGACTACTCCTCAAACTCCTCAAATTATCCTCAGACAACTCCTGAAACTACTCCTCAGATTATCCTCAAACTCCTCAGATTATCCTCAAACTCCTCAGACTACTCCTCAAACTCCTCAGATTATCATCAAACTCCTCAAACTACTCCTCGGTCTAATCCTCAGACTCCTCCTCAGATTATCCTCAGATTATCACTTTACATATATATATATCGATAACTAAATAATTACTTATTATACTTTCTTTCTTTTTTTTAATTTTAAAATAATATTAATATATCTTTCTATGTTTAATGATGAAAAGAGAAAGAGGAGTAAAAAGAGGAAAGAGAAAAGAAAGAGAGAGAAAAGAAAGAGAGAGAAAAAAAAAGAGAAAGAAAGAAAGGAAAAAAAAGGACGGCGATAATTTTGTATTGTTTTGTTATTCGGCCGAATGGCGGCTACTTCGTACCCGCCATTCGGCCCAAAAAATGGCGTATTATTCTATTTTTAAACGGTCGTGGCGTAAAACCGTCGCATCCCTGAGTCAGGGATTAAGGGATTTTTGAATTTTAAGAATTTTTTTCGAATTTTTTCGAAAAAAAATATTTTCAGAACAGCCTTAACGGCTAAGATTTAGGAACAATGTTAAGTATCAAAAAGAAAGGAGGTCTGATATAGACAACATATATCGTTGAAGGTTGAAAAAATCTCTAATATTTGAGCCCAAAATTTCAAATTTTAATTTTTTGAAAAAAGAGGCCACCCGTATGTACGTCTATTTGAGAGGAGGAGGATTATATTTTTGAAAGGGTGAAACATTATGAATATGTTAATTATATAATAATATGTATTATTATAAAAAAGAAAAAATAAAGCACGTTAAAAATTTTCTTTCTTGATTTTTTACAAAATCTACTTAGAATTATGCAAAATATGACTAAATAATTATAAATTTCAAGTTAAATTTTAATTTTGATAAATAATTTAAATTTCAAAATATCAAGTTCAGTTCGACTATGTATGTAGTAATTCCTCAATAAAGTGCCAAAACCCTATTAAAATATATGAACATTTTCAACATTTTAATGTTTTTATTTAAAAATTTGTTGGAATATGAGCTTCAAACAATTATTATGTAAATAAAAATAATTAAATATATGTATTTATTCGTATTACAACCGTAGTAAGTCGATTCTTCCTTTCTTCTACTGAGGTTTGAATTTGATTTCGAATTGTAAAGAGATTCAAAGGGAAAATACTAGCGGATAAAAACTACCTCCATGAAAGGGTCATAATGGAGTCAAGTTGTATTTTTTGATATTTTTTGCTTTTCGAGCCTAAATAGGTAGCCAAGATAATGCCTAAAAATAAGGTTCTAAATTCTGAAGTTTACATGATCCTCTCGTGTGCACCCTTAAGTCTCGACCAAATATTTTGAGTATTTCAGAAATATTTTTGCTTTTTTTTTCTTCAAAAATGTAATTTAATAGTATATACGAAGCTTGAAAAAGTGATAAAATTACTATAAGGTTAAAATTGAACGAAGTACGTTAATGATGAAAATAATTTCAATGATTAACAGTAAAAAGGTATATTATTATAGTGAATACAAAATCCAAAATACTCAATAAAAAGTTTTATGTAATTTATTAGAAACAATTATGTTTAAAGTTCAATTTCGGAATCCGATAGATATAAACAAAATAAAGAATTTCATTCTAAAATATAATGGATTCTAGAAATTTACGTTCCAAAATTCGATTGTTTTGGCATTTTTAGAACCCTAAATTATTGAATCTAAAACCTTCTGTTTAATAACCATTTTAACATCAGAACGGCTTGGATTTATCTACAAATTCGTTTTATATCATCATTAATTGAAAATGTAATAAACAGTGTTACTTGAAAACATCAAGTATCTGCATTTAATCATGTCATTGTGTTTCTGTTAAAATCAAATTAATTAGAAGTGCATCAACTCTAACCATCATATCTAAGCAAAGTTTGTTTCAACATTTAATATTCATCCATAGAGCACCTTAATAATGCAGTTGTACACATATATTGCCTCATAATTTTCTGGATCATTAGATCAAATTTCATATAATACTTCAATATCTACCTGTTTATATATTGAATAATGCATATAAATAGATAGAAAAGGACAAGCACTAACTTTGATTATCGATATTTGATATTTCCTGAAAATAATATCCCTATATTAAGGAATAATAATTCTACAAAGTTTGATTATAATAATATATTTTCTCAGAATAGCACCCTGTGTAGATAAATATTGTTTATTATTTAGAATTTGGAATTATAAAAATTTATTTATGCATAAAAACATTTTCAACAAGTTCAAAATACTATATTAGCACTGTTGAGCGTTATATTGTCAAAAACTTAATCAAATGACCAAGATAATTTATGGTAAATATACAATTTGCTCAGTAATTATTTTTTTGGAAAAATTCGACTTATATAATCCATGTTGTGAAGAGTGTATGCCAAAATTATAGCCTCAATGCTTTTAACATTATAATGATAGATTTTAGCAATTGTGATGGATCTTATATGGTGTAAAGTGAATATTATTGTAAATTATTTCTGGTTATGAACTGATAAAAGGAAAAAACTATTCATCCACTAAATTGAAATTCAAAAATTCAATTTCAAGGACTATTATTAAAGACTAGTAAACATAGTTTGATTCTGAAATCATTCTTTGCCTATAAAAAGTTCTTTCAAGAAGGTTTCTCTATGAAAGTTCACATTCCCATTCACAATAAAAATATTGCACTTTTCTAATTTGCCGTGTCAAATGTCAGGCGGGAGGCTATCAACTAATTAAAGATTATATAATGTTATTATATAATGAAATAAAAATACGATAGAATGTCAGGCGAAAATGAGGGGAAAAGTGCGAAAAAGTGGCTTTTCAGTTTACAATTTTTAGTTGATACACCTCTAATTAATTCCATTTTATAGTCCTCCCAAAATCTCAGTAGTGAGGGCCCCTCAATATAAAATGTAAACCTCTGTGTATTGAATTGGGATTTGTAAACCTCACTACTCTAATTTTGATTGAGAGGGCAAGGCTCTGGACGCTTAATTTGAGGGCTTTTTTTTCTATGAGATTAAGAAAAGTTTTAAGTTGAAGATTTTTACTATCTATATACAAGACAAAGAATAATAATAAATGGTTTTTTTGGAAAAAAGACGATAGGAATTATCAATTAAATCCAATTGATTTTGGGTCGAAATTAAGGAATACATACTAGCTTCCATGTAGTATCCTCTGTTCGAAATGAAATTTTGTAATTTGGAAAAAAATCCAAAATAAAATTTTGATTTGGAAGAATTTTGAGCTTTGTTACTAGAGATTCAGATTTGTAGTCCCAAAACAATGTGACCATACAAATAATGGAAACATCCAGCAGGAAATGATTTGAATTTGATGGCGAATTAAGAAATTCTACTTGACCTTTTAACGCAAATGGAAAAGCATCCATTTTCTGCTAGTTTGGGTTTGCTTTTCGGCTTGTGAATTCATTTATCCATCATACCACGAAAATAATAAACGAGCATTTTTTGTTCAGAAAATTGAAATTGCATTGTTTCATCAGAATTGATGCAGTAACTAACTGTAATATATCAAAATTCATTAAAATGTCTTGATTTTGAGTTTCAAAATATTAATGATTAAAAATGTGACCCAAATTGCAAATTTTTAATAAAACCAAGCAATCCATGATGCATACTGTTATAAATCCATGAGAAAGACAGGACTAACAAAATTAGATGTTTACATTTATTCAATATTCAAAATGTTTATTTTGAATTATCAATATAATTAAATCATATCGCATTTCATGCACGTTTTTTCTCTCAAAAAATTGAATTGCTATTCAACTGCGATTTTGAGATGACTATATTTCCAATGCATAATTATTAATTAAAAATATTTCAACACTATATGAAATTATTATATTCAGATACAATGGTTAAACTGAATATTCTTTTATAATTTTTTAGCATTACAGTTTTTACTGATGTATATTCCCTTTTGAAAAACACATCTATGTAAAAGCATTTTTATAAACGAAAGCCTTTATTCAACTCTTAACTGATTAAAATTGATCAAATTGACCAAAAATCAGTTAAATTCTGTATGGGATAAGTTAATGAACCTTTAATAATGATTTGATATCTGTTAAATCGACTATCGAACAATGATAATTTTGCGATTGAACACAATGTAGATGATCTCTGCAACCTGAATCAGGAAGGTATTTTTCAATATAGTTCCAATTTTCAGCGAACCAGCAGAATAGTGCCTTCCTATTTCTTGTTGCCAATCTATCAATATTCAATCCAAGTTGATCACAAAGCTTATTAGCATGCTTGAGGAGAGAGTATGCTGTTAAATGCATTCCATATATATTTTGAAGTCTTGAAATGACACTATCTAACTTAGGTCCGGCTTTTTGAACTCTTTCGATTACCTTTTCGTAATCTTTTATTGCCTGTGCAGTTGTTCTCTTTGATATCTTCAAAGGATTAACAGTTGTTTCAATGGGAGATCTCATGAAAGGTATCATTATAATAAATGAAGCTCATATATTCAATTTTTGAAATATCTGAATTTTGAATGTAGAATAATATATCCTCCTTTTTTTATTTTTGGATAAACAGAATAGAAATTAAATTTAAAATACATATGGTCCAATTCGCAAAAAATTGAATATTTTATCATTCCAACGTATTCATTTTGAAGATATGGAATCATGATTGCAAATAAAACAATATAATTTTTATAGGTATTCATATTTTGAATTCATCTAAAAGTCTTATCAAAAATAAATCCTATATTCAATTAAATAAAAATAAATTGACCATTGTTTTGCCTGTCAAAGGGTCAAGGTTTACAACGTGTCACTTTTTGGTTTACGTGGCAATTTAATAAAAAATTAAGTTTTTTATTTTGTATTTTTATTAATAATATAAAAATGAAACCAAAGGCTGTGAGGCACAAATATATTATCAGTGCCTCACAGCCTTTGGTTTCTTACCAAAAACGAGAAAACTTGCTCGACATTCTTTCTCATTTCGAGCAAGTTTTCTCGTTTTTGGCAGGGACTTGTTCCTTATGAGGTATATAGTATGAATATATACCTCATAAGGAACAAATCCTTAAATAAACATACAAAATCCATAGAACAACAAAAAAATGTCACGTAAACCAAAAAGTAACACGTTGTAAACCTTGACCCTTTGACAGGCAAAACACCATAGATACAATTGAACTTTTTATAATGTCCTTGATAATTTAGACATAGTTAAAACAATTATTAAATCGTAGTTTTTGAAATGTCTTTTGAATCAGATTATTTAAGATTATATTTAAGTAAAAGTACTCATAGCCACTATCGAAGACTTTTCATAAAAAATATAATCTGGATTCATTCAAAATTCAAATATTTTACAGTAAAAAAACAAACAATGCTACTCCAAATAAGATAAAACAAACCATTGAGTAGTTTAAAATATAAAATGCCACTCGTGGTCTCTTTGGCTTAATAAAACAATATAACAGAATTCCTAAAAATGGCAAAAGCGTAACAATTGCATAAAATATTATATCTGAAGCTAACATGTTTTCGTTCGAAAAACATGATAATTCTAAATTGCGTAGTGGACGATTACTTTCTGAATAAGGATTTGGTAAATTTGTGTCATTTGCATAGTTTTCTGCGTTTGATGAAGCATTTGAAATAACTAAAGCATTATTTAGCTCTTCAATTTCGATGTTATTGTTTTCTTGATCTTTCTGAATTTGTTCAGGATCAGGAACAGTAGCATATTCATTTTGATCATTGAGGATATTATTTGGTGCTGGAATAATCTTGATATTTCCTTCTATATTAATATTATTTTCTGTATTTGTATGTGTTTCATCATAAGGATTGATATCATCTCTATTTTCGTAGAAATGATTCAACAATCTGTAAAAATATCTTATAAAAATACCGGGATAATATGTTATTACATTATATGACGAAAATTGAGAATATCCAATATCATTGTCTAGACTTTCATCTATCTGGTCTTGTGTAGGATTAACAATCATTCTTAAGGACTCAATATCCAATTCCACATCTGAATATTTTCGATTCGGTGGGGATGCATCTGGACACATTTTTATTTTAACGATAATGGGAAAAATTTTCTATCAATCTAATTTTATTTCTGACAAGACTAGACATTTTGGATGTTAATGCCAAATAAAAACTTTTGAATTTCGATTTTTTGTGAACTTTACGAGATTTTTATTCAATTTCGCTCAGCCAATTAGGTATTGAAATTGAATTGTATCTTTCAAATCGATCGGTTTAATATTTAACATGATCACTTCAACACATGCATTATTTCATCGATCAGAACAGACAACTTATGGAAATATTATTCAATTTTTCTTTCAAAGGAGAAAAACCAAAAAACAAAGCCATTGAGTTAATTTAAAATAAACACTTTGCATACAACGACCTTTTGTGCATATCTTTCTATCTGATGGTCACTAAATCATCTCTAAAATTATATTCTTAATTTGGCTGGATCCAATTTCATTACAATTATTCATTTTACAAAGAGTACTGTTGCACTATTTTTCTTTATCAATTGTTAAATCTTTATTTTCATCCAATCGATTTTTTTTTTATTTTTTTATAGTGTTTTTAGCGATTTTTTAATATGATAAGCTTGTAATCAAGGCACTGCATTTAGCGAAATAGGTAACTTGTCAATTGCCAAGTTACGGAATTCACACAAAATTGAATAAAAAATGATATTTATTAAATTTAATATCTTTTATATAAGCCTAAAATTTTTAATGAATGGCCAATCGTTGGCTTTCAAAAATTGATATGTTCATCGATTTTTTCAGGATTGGTCACATCATTTTTCATCAATGCTCGGTCAAAGAAAGATAAATGGATGGGGAAAAACTTTCTTTAATGGAAAGGCATATATACAGTTTGGATTAAAGTTCAATAATTCAAATGATCTCAAGATTGCAATTGAAAAAATTAAAAAATGCACTGCTGGATTCTATCATTCGACAGATGGCGATAATATGTATAGATTTAAAGATGATCCAATTGTTTATAAGCTTCCAAATAACATAACAAATCTTACTGATCTATGCAATTATATGTATCAGAATCATACAAGGCCATTAGATCAAACACTTGCATCCATTGGTGCCAACAATGATTCTCTCGTCCTTAACATTAATAACATGGCATGCGACGGTGGCTATATTAAGAATTTATTTGAATATTTGAAAACTGACAAAATAATTGATAAAATACCATCAATTATTCCTCTTGATGAAGTATTCAAGAATGAGATCGAAAGCTATAAAGGTGAATTGCCTCCTGTTCCTCCATTTGACTTTGATGTTACAAGAGTATTTCCGAAACATAAAGAAGATTTACATTACACAGGCACAACAAAAATGGTTGATTTGCAATCAAATGAAAAGGAATTTATGACATATAAACTCAATGGAAGGATAAAGAACTTAACAGACTATTATTGGGCAAATTATATATTAGGATTGTCTGCTTATAACAATAAATTTGATAAAGCTGGCGTAATAACTTGTATCAACGCACGCCAATTCCTCAAAAAAGACAGTATTGATTATGCAAACAACTTCTCACAGATAAGAGTCAGAGCTCCACATATCACAGTTGATGATACAGTTGGAGAACTCATGAAACAAATGAGAAATGATTTCAATGAAAGAGTTAAAAGAGGAGAGATGTGGGCTGGTTTAAAAGCAATGAAAATCAGTCATTTGAACCCAGCACAAACTGAGAAACCAAATGAAAAAGATATCGGATGCTCAGGCGATCTTTCTTTAATTGGAACATTTGACCTTGAGAACAAGTTTAAAGATGTTTGGGTCAATTTCCATATGAGTGAAAATGAATTAAAACACTTCACTGGTTATCTTTCATTTTCAGTCATCAGAAATGGTGTAAATACTATTTATGGAAAGTTCAGAACAGGAACAAACTATTTCTCTGAAAAAGACGCAGAAATTGTTGGAAATTCAATCCAATATGGCATGAAAACAATTCATCCTCAAATGAAGATCGCAGAAGCATTAGATATTCTTAAGGATTATCAAAAGAAAAAAGAAATTTTCCTTGAATAAAAAATAGTAATTTAATTATAATAAAATCGCATTATTGCATATGCTTTTTAATTATGTATTGATAGGACTCGTGCGAAAATTCAGTATATATATGAATAAATCATTGATCAATTTTTTCGGAAAATTATTTCTTTGGTTTTGATAAAATTTAAAGAATCAAATGAATGTTGAAACATAAGCTTTGAATTTGGATTGCTCTATTGACATATATCACAACTGTGTAATTCTCATTTGAACATCCAGTGAATTCATTAGAAAACGATTGTTTAAAATCACACACATAAATTTATTAATATGGAGTACAATAATATGAAGTAAATATTCAAAATTTAGAAAAAAATAGTAAAAATGTAATATAAATTCAAATATTAGTGATTTTTCCTTATAAATTTTACAATCAAGTTTATTCTTTCTTGAAATCTTCAGTTTCAAACTCGTTGTTGAATAATTTTTCCCAAACTCTAACATGGTAGTTGCCATTTGAAGTTTGGATCTTTCCATCCCACATTGTGCCTGCAACAACTTGAGAAGACATCTCTAATACTTTAACAAACTTGAGATCGAGAGGTTATCGATTTTGTAATTTAATCGTCGTCGTTATCGATTTTGTAATTTAATCGTTATCGTCTTTTTCTAAACGTGCATTTTTACATTAAAAGCAATGCAACTCCAAAATTAATTGGTATTTAGACTTTAATTAGGTGCAGACAAACGAAATGCAGTCCAAATATTTTGGTGATATATGAATTACATAAATTTAAGGAAATTGAAATTATATCTTTTTAAATTTTTAGGAAAACAGATTTATAGAATTGTTTAATTCGTCAAAATAATGCAGACTTAGGTCAAATTTTCCAAATTTAATCATTTGCAAGACTTTCAAGCGACTTCAAAATGTCGAAATATAAGTCCAAAAATAAAATTACGATTACAGTCTATCCTCAATTATTATCACGCTAATTATTGAGTGACCCATGCGTTCGTATGTATGTAATACCTTTTAAAAAGGAGATGAGAGAGATAAACGACATTTACAATTTAAATCTGATGTATTTACTTGTTACATTTACAAATGTAAATGTTTCTCGTAATGTTTACATTTTGTAAGTATAACGAATAAAAATGACGCACTTTTTTTACAAAGTCAAATTATGCGAGACAACTTTACTTGTTACATTTACAAATGTAAATGTTTCTCGTAATGTTTACATTTTGTAAGTATAACGAATAAAAATGACGCACTTTTTTTACAAAGTCAAATTATTGTTCGATTTTTGCAGCTTGTAAACGATTAATTGTATAAAGCAATTGATATTAGCACGACATAACTGAATAATTCTAATATTGAAATCAAAAGCCCTTAAAATATCATGATATTTTAATTTCATAACAAATCTAGGAGACTATTTGATGAAAACATATCCGATGTGGTTTTGTTGTATTATATAACTTGTTATTGACTTCTTAGCTTTCCAAATTTTTTTCGATAATGAGAAAACGAATGAAAAATCAACATTTGGTCCATTTAAAATTTGATTTGTTTACATTTTTTTTACTTTTTGAATTTCAATTTATATTTTCCTCAAGAAATACTTTAGATTTTAAGAAACTAAATCATATAATCTACTAAGAAAATATATTAAATCCTATAATACTCAAAGTTTTGTGATAAATCCGATCTTTTTTATTTTACTTTTATTATGTTTTTGCAAACTTAAGGTCCTCACTAGGTAAAACATAATACTCTTTGAAGTTAAGTATTTTCACAAAGAGAGGACCAACAATATCAAAAGATTGAATAAAGATTTGTATTATTTTATTTATTTTTAAGAACATGTTTAAGAACCCTCATTATCTCCACGAATATTGCATATTTTTCTATTCTAAGACCACCAAAATTACGTTTTAATATAGAAAATAACATATTTATGTGATGCTAAAGTCGAAGTCCTTAAAAAATTAGTGTTAAACATCCATTTATTACAAAATTGAAGAAATATATGTAAAATATAACACATAATTTAGTTATTTGACTCAATTATTAGTTATGCAATATCAGTTGTGTTTATATCTGCGTTATATCACGAGATGCATTGAATTGTCATAATTAGATCACCGTAAATCTTATCAATTTTTGATACACTTCCGGTGAAAAATTTAGCCTTGACAATAGGATGAAATATATTGTAAAAAAATAAATTTTAGATTTTGAAGTTTATCATTTCGAATAATGAAATATAAACAATACAAATTTTCTGTCGTTTCGAGATTCATAAATGATCGGAATCTTCCAGCTCCGACTGAAATAGAACTTTCGGAAGCTAATTTTCAAGACGAATCTTCTTTATTAAGATTTATTTTGGATATCCCTAAGGATTTAAGCTTTTCCATTGACTCATATTCAATGAATCTTTTGATACATTTCATTATCGAGCAATCTACACAAAATGAAACAATATTAAAATTCACAATTCAAAATATCACTTCTTCGAATATCTTTCAAATAGATTTGATACTACTGGAAAATTTATTCGAATATTTATCGCATTATATTAACCAGATTTTTTTCATTTTTTCATTAAAATTAATTCATTTTAAAGCTTTAGATAACATACAATACCTTTATTTATCAACATTTTCCGATCAATATGATGAGATATTACGTTTCATAAGCAGCAGTGACAATTCTCTCTATATCATCGATACATTTATTGCTTTGATTAAAAACAATATTCTTGACGTTGAATTCTTCCAAAACGCAGTTTTACTCAAGAAAGAAATTTTTTCTAGTATTATTGAGTACGAAAATCAATATTCAACTTATGCAATTGCAAATTTCTTTACAAAATTATTAAAATATTACCCAGGATATGCAACTGCTCTTCCATGTTCGGATATACTAATATCAAATTATTTCAACTTTTTTAATGACGTGAATTCAATTATAAATAACGAAGATTTTGTTTATCTTCTCAAATTTATAGTTTTATTTTATAAAGCAGTCGATATAACATCTGAGATGGCTTTAGAATTCATAAAAACACTTGAAATTCTGCGAAGTCTTTCTCCTCACTATTCATTTACAGAGTATGTAGTTCAGGGGTATTATTGTGTACTTCCTCTTATACCCATGCAAATTTCATCTACCGATTTTTTAAATTCACATGAATTTTTAATTAATTATGCAATTGAGAATTCAAATCTTCACAAATATTTGAAATTATATTCCAGATGTTTCCGCAGATTTGATAGCGATGAAATATTCAAAAATGTTTTTCATATCTTAAACCTTGTAGAAGTTACAACAGAATATTTATCAGAAAATCAGGATCTTTCTGAGAAACAGATCTTTATTTGCAACGATATCCTAACGAGGGTTAATTTAATTTTTATTTTTTATTTCAAGTTTGAGTAAACTTTCAAGATAATCTATATAAGCCTTTTGATGTTCTTCATCTAGATTCTTGTTTAATATGTGATGAATTTGATTTTTTTTTGAAAATTCAAGATAAAATTCTTTTTTATCTTGATCAACAACATGAACAATTCGAGTACAGCGTAACATTTCATCAATATTTTCTGTTTTCTTCGTTTCTAGATATTTTTCAAATATTTCTTGCGGAATCTCATTTTGATATACCCATTTATTTTTTTCCGGATGCTGATCTTTGTACTTAACGAAATATTGCTTGACTATTCGCTCAGAAACAACATATTCGATCTCTTTTCTCTTTCTCATTGAATATTTGTGACACTTTTGAATTCAATCAAATCAAAAATATTTGAAATTGCTAGAATTTTTTTCTTTCTCATGAATATTTGAAATGACTCAAAAGGAAAACTCGTTCGATTCAATTCAATTTTGAATCAGAATTTTTTAAGGACCAATAAATCAAATTATGTTAAGAAAATCTTTTTTTAACTCAGAGTATCAAAAGTACGTTAAACCTTCAATTTTATCTCATGTCGGAAAGCGAACCGACAATAGTGGAAGAGAATCAAACTATATCAGTATCCATCCAAGCTATTGTTGATGAAGAAAAAGGAGATGGAGCTGATATGCTGGATTTAATTCAAAATGAATTGAATTCCGTAAAAAATTGAAATATAGAATGGAAATACCTGAAAATCCCCAATTCCAATTCTCAAGGAAAGATATAGCAAATTAAAATTTACAGATCCTACAGAAGCTGCTATATTTATTGCAAAAGATTCATATAATTCTTTTTATCCATTAAATTTTGAGCAAGGAAAAAAGTTTCGTTGTCCTAACTGCCAATTTTGCATGGAGCTTGTAAAGACTCATGAAAATGGTCAACTTTTCTTCATTCCAGTAATTAAACACGAGCATAGAGCAAAGCAATGCAAGCCGAGTAACAATATACCAAAAATTCTTAAGTTGCAAGCAGGAAAAAAAGTCTATGAATTAGCAAATTCTGATAATGTTCCTCAATGCAAAGAAATTTTTGCAAAAGAATTGAATATTCCCAATGCAACTTATACGATGTTCCATAATATAGTAAATAAACTTAAAGGAACCACAAAGGGGATAGAATTCAATCTTACAATTATTTCTCAACAATTTTTTCAATCATAAACAAAATCGAACAAGGATTCTGCGAAATGATTTTAGTTAAAGAAGTTAACAATGAAATTGAATTGCATACATTTAAGAAAGGTGATGAATTACCTGAAAATTCAAAAGACTTTCAAATTTATTCATTTATTGTAATTCCTCCAATAACTCATTTTTACATGCAAACACAAGCTTTTTGCGGAATAATTCAAATTGATGGAACGTTTTTATTTTGTATTAAAAAAGGAAACTTACTCATTATTGGGAGTATATAAGAATTTCCGAAAAAGTGACACCCAAAAAGTGACACTTTCAATAGGGAGTAACACTTAAAAAGTGACAATTTAAAATTCACAATAAATAAAAATAATAAATTTTTTAGTCTATTAAATTATTCTTTTCTTTGAAATCCTCTAAAAATTCT